GGTGTCAGGGCATGTTGGCATTACACGGTCCATAAAAGAGACATGGAGCGGCTCCTCGAAAGGAGACCCGAAAGAAGCGGGGTCCGATGCCGAAATAGGGTATAGGTTAGTGTCGATCTCGTGATTGTCAGGTGGTGGCGCATCGCACACCACCTGCGGTACAGACAGAGTACCGATGTGTAGTCTGTAGTAGTGGTGGCTGCTTACCAGCGGCGGCAGCACCACCGACCTGTGCAGCCGTAGCCGCAGACCGGAGTGACTCAAGAACGCCCCGTGCATCTGAAAGCACATTCTCCATGCCGGCGTCCGAAGCACCATGACCCAAGCCCGCGTAGTGGGCACGTAATCCCACGTCGTGCCGCGCCGGGTAGGTGAAGGGCTCAGGATCGGTACGCACCAGTGGCTGGTCGTGCTCGTGGCACAGGTCAGCGAATTCCTCGTCGTTCTCGTTGTCGAAGGCGGTCTGGAAGGCCGAAACCACTTCGTCCAAGTCCATGGCGGCATCACGCAGGTCAACATCGCACGAACCACACACCTCAGGGCAACGTGCAGTGTCGTGAAAGTGCCCAGGGCAGAGTGGGCACTCCTGTACGAAGGCCGAGGATGCGGAGTGAAACGAGATGCTCCTAGCACCCTGCGTCCTAATACCTTGAGGCCAATTCCCGCCCTTCGGGAGTGGGGACGCCCCGAAGCGGTGCTTCCATCCCACGTGACGATTACGGCCGTGAAATTTACCGTCGGTCCGACGGTTCCGCTCGTCACGCCACTTGAACGGTGGGAACCTCACACCACCGCCTCCATGCGGACGGTGAGAATCATTCCGTGGCGGCGGTGTGTCTCGTGCAATCTCGCGCTCGTCATGACGGAGGGAGGCAAGTAGGGCAGAGGCCTCACCAATGATACGAGCGAACTCCTCGAGGAAGCCCGAGACGTCACTCGGCTCCCCACCTGCGTAAGCCAATCCGAGAGGCGTGTGCGTCGGGATAGGCGCGGCTGCCTTGGGGCGGGTGGGAGGGCCATTAGGGTTCGCACACCACCACACTTCCAGAATGTGAGTGTAAACCTCCTCGATGCTCACCTTCGCCAATTCAGTGTCCAGGCGAAGCGGGGTGATCACCTCCTTGTAAAATTCGGCGTCCAGTGCCGCCAGGAGCTGTCTCTTGGCGGCTTCGTCGTCCAGGGGACCCGCTCCGCTAGCCGCGATAGCCTTAAGACACTCGTCAAATTGGGCCACTAAAGGCTCTGGGTCAACAGAGGACCCAAAAGAAATGCTTAAGAGCTCCTCGTGATGTCGGAGCGGTCGATGCCCAGGCGGCAGCTAGCAGCCGCTTGGTGATTTCAAGGAGGGCACGCTTACCGTCGCGCGGAGAAATCCGAGCCGAAGCGTCAACCCACCTTCGAGCTGGAGAGTGGGGTGTTGTCAAAGAGACCAACGCACGAAGTAAAATGTCGTTGAAGATCGGGTGAACCTCTTTGGTGACGTCCACGAGGTCAAAGATGTCCTCGTTGGCGTTGTCCTTGTTGACAAACGATGCCTCCAAGGCAGTCACCAAGGAATCCCAAAGCAGTTGACGATGTGGTTCACTCCCTGAAAACGAAGACGCCTTCGTTCCCAATGTGTCCTTCGCGACACGCTTCACAACGTCAGTGTCCCAGGACGATTGTAACACGGCATTGCCGCGTGTCCTGTCAGCAGCAGCGAGCACGACCTTCGCTGACTGCGGGGTGCTCTTATAGCGAGCACCCACGTTCCTAGCAAAAATTGAATCAAGGCGCATTCTAGCGCCCACGGCAGGCGTACCAACTGAGGATGAAGTCATCAGAATAAATTCCTATAGGAGGGGGGTTGGGGAAAAGGCGATGCGCAAATTGTAGGGTGGCGAACGACGGTAATGCAGTCGCGGAGTAAGAAGAAGATGGGGTCGAACGAAATCAACGAAGTCGAATACGCGACGGCCAAGGAGATGTTGACAGGGGTGATCAAGCCAAGTCTAAAACAAAATCCAACGCGGACACTCGAAGAAGTTGCCGAAAGTCCCAATCCGAAATCTCACCGCAACTTAGCGCAAACCGCACGCCCTAAAGTGGCCAATTCAACACCTCGCGAGGCCCCAACGCCCCGCCAAGCGGAACAAAACTTAGCCAATCATGGCAAAGTCAGCAGTGATAAAAGCGGGGTAATACCCCATAACCTGTGAGATATAATATACCGTATTATATTGGGTGGTCACTGAATACTCTTCATACAAGTGTAAACTGATTATAAGAGATAAACGAATATAAGGCGGTCTGTGACCTAGGTATCTGTCACCTAGTACTGTACGAGTACTGGTACAGCTATCGGGAGTCAGAGTAAGTTATGACCTACGGGTCACTGAATCCAACAGGGTTTTCTTAAAGGTGAGTGATTACTGTAAGTACATATGTACCCGGCTTAAGTACATATGTACCTACAATGTACCCCGGGTGTCCCAACGGTAACATCCAACGGTAACAAGTAACGGTGACATCCAACGGTAACCTGAGTACATATGCGGTACCGCATGTACCCGTCCATGGGTACATGCCGGGTACATGCGCCAGCGGCATAGGGTACACAAATAGACGCGTGTACCCGGCGTGTACCCGTTTGTGGGTACATGCTGGGTACGCATGCCTCGCCGCGAGCATCCAAGTACATGTGTACGCGCGGGCAAAGTACACGTGTACCCGACATGTACCAAACCCCTTTTTTACTGTTTTGGTACACGTCGGGTACACGTTGGGTACACGTCCCGGGTACATGTCGGGTACATATGCACCGGGCTTTCCAAAATTTGTAGGGCTTGACGATCTTCCAACGAGGGTACATCGTCACGTCCTCCTGATGTGTGGGCTCGTCGTTTTGCACCCCCCCTCCCCCTCTCCTTGAACCGCGACTCCGGCCCTTCGATCCGCGCCTCCCGATACAGTTTGACGTCGACGAGCACCTCGACCTGTTGCAAGCCTTCAATGTAAGCCGCGCTTGGCTTCTTCGCTTCATTGAGGTTGGCCCGCGCGTTCTCGACGTAATTGAAAATCGCTAGCGGAACTTCCCCTCTGTCAGGGATATGACCGATGACATATGTGCCATGCATGTCATACATGTCATACCTATCATGTCATGTCATGGCATGTCATGTGTGATAATGACATACAGTCGTCAAGTATTGTCAGTACATTCGACTATGACATGTACAATCATAATGTTTGTCATCCACCTAAGGTGAGTGACATATGTCATCGAGAGGCCAAGTATATGGCATCGAGATGGCGAAGCAAGATACATCTTGAAAAGAACAAACTGACTTGTTCTGATAAGACGCGTCTTCGCTTCACGCATGCACTGAACAGCATGCGAGCATCAAAGGCTATATCGACCAGCCGATGCGGGAAGTTCACCTAATGCTCTCGGGTTCACAACCCGATGGTGGTAACGCGTGCGACGCGTGAGAGCATTAGAGTATACGAGGAGCATTGGGCTCAAGCAAGCACTTCTGGGTCTACAGACTGCTGCACTCATATCCCACCAAACTATTGCGTTTCGTTGTTGCCGTTCAATAACAGCAACGTCACATAAGGGGCGTAACCGGTTAACCTGAGGTCCAACTGGTTGGAAGTGATTAGTGCGAATTAATTAACTGGTTGGGGCTACCTAGTAAGTAAATTGAAAATTGATTAGCTAGCTACAAAGGGTTAATTACTTTTTTTGTACTAGTTAACTGGTGGTTTAACTGGTTACTGCCAAAATTGAGTATGGGGATAATGCGGCATTAAATGTTGCACATTCGAGGTCAAACTCGACCCATTCGGGTATACATATCATACGTGCAAGATGCCATAATTACTCGCAACCTGAGGTACGTACTTGTGAGGTAGTGCTTTTAGGTGAGACTACATCCGTCAGGCTTCAAGCGTCAAATAAGCGTCACCGTCACATATATTGTTCGTATAGAACCGTGACACCCCCGGCGCGCCCCTCCACGCGGCGAGTGATCAAGGCCTCGATTTTTTTTCTTGAGAGCTCCAGTACACGCGGTGAACTCCTTCGTGAATGCCTCCCAGGTTTCCAACCCCGCCGCGGACACCAAAACTAAGCGTCTGTACCATGCGCTCCTTCTTGAACTGGCTGATCGTATCGCCCCCTCCTTTAGGGAGATCTGCTTCTCAATAATCATGCGCAGATACGTGTCAACCTTGTCGAACTCCGCATCCCCCGCCAAGCCTCTCAAGTCATACGCATGGCTTTGGCGTTGTGGAGGTACCGAGCTTCTTCCGCCAAACTGCCCGCCCCTCCAGACGAGCCCCCAGCTCCGCCGCGGCCTGTGCCTCCTCGTTGCACGTCGTCTTCCACTTGTAAGTCGGAGAAACGTTTTTAGCATGTCTCAAAAGATAGAAAATAATACTTCGTAAGGGAAAATACTTTTTGAGAAGCAGGAAACAATATTATCTACCTGTTTCAATCACCGGTCATCAATCATCGGTCATCACTCATCACTCATCACTCATCAGTCATGACAGACTGCGCTATCTTAGATATCTTCGATGGCAGTCATGATGACCGATCAGTCGAGTACGATCTCATGACGTACACGACATACTCAAATATATTAGAGATCGTCGATGCAATCATCAGATGTCGGTACGTCATCGAAATCGCGCGAAATCGCGATATGTGTCATATCATAAACCGTACGACGAGTATCCCTGCGATGCACACCGATGTCATCAATGAGTTCGCGTAGCTCAGCGGATAGAGCGACCGTGATTCATTCGGGAGGTCATGGGTTAGGGCCCCGTCGCGGATACATTTTCGCCGCGATGGATAACGCACTCGACCCATCTCAAACAGTGAAAACTCCCCCTCACTATTTATGGATCTTGTTAGATGTGCTAGAGTCTGAAATGTTAAGATCTATAATTTGTGATGGGACTTTCATTGTACAAAACCCGAACGTCAACGCGAGCTCGGGCACAAATGTTGCTCCAAGCCGGTTTCAATCCGGTGACCTCGTGGTTGTCGCCCACTTGCTCTGCGGCCACTGAGCTACCCGGAGCGTATTGATGTTCAAGCTTGATCCTCTTGTGGCACTTGTACAGTTCCGATAATCATGCGAGAACAGGTGTTCCGCTCGGGTAAAACTGGCTAAGCTCCCATAATCAGTCCGGCCGAGTGCTTTTATCATGCATCTCGGAAACCCGGATAATACGAAGTGATGACTGACAGTACAGTACTACTGTACTGTCATCCTAGCTACTAGCGGAGTCACGGTTCCGATCAGAGACGGGTCAGGCTAGGGCTATCAGAGCCCATAATAATAACCCTGAACCTAAAGTCCAGCACACCACCCGGAGCTGTGACCGTAGCTAATAGGGCTAGGCAAGCGGAGCTAACTAAACAGATAACAAACAGCAACTCACTGGAAACAGATATACTTTAAGCTGGGCGCCCGGGGACTCGTCCCGGCACAACCCACTACTGCGGCCAAGGCTAATCAAACCACCAGGATAACAGATAAGCACACTCAGCCACTGCAAAGCTGGTCGGCAGAGCCGAGTTCAGCGGTCGGATTCCAAGGCAGAAATACTTCCGAAGTGAGTTGAGATGATAATTGAAAGGCGTTGACACCACCAGACCCAAGAGGGTCAGGCGGATCCCGGAGTGGAATGTTAGGATGTCCAAATTGCAAAGCAGCCGAGGTCGATTGAAAAGAAAATTGCGTTACGTCCCGCTGCGGCATTGACGAACCAGCAGTAACCACAGGCGGGCAAAGAGGATCCGGTAATGCATCACTGAGACGAACCGCACCGCAATCGTGAGTGGCTCCGGGCTCAACCAGGCCCCTGACACCACCGCCGACCACGAGTGTCGGCATCGCCGTAGCACTGAAGAGGAATGTAGCCACCATGAAGAGAGTGAGTGCAAACTGACCGATGCCAAATGGCTTGGAGCCTCTGGGGACTCCGAATCGCCGAAGTGCCGTAGTCGCCGGCGTTGCACCCCCTTCAATTTCAGTCAGGCAGACTTCATCGTCATCGGAATCACACACCTCAACAGGCTCAGGGTCAATGTCAAGCCAGTCAGGGTGCACAGCGTTGAATGTCTTGAAAGAGTTGTCAGCCGTAGCCATCGGGCCGAGAGCCAGAGAGGCAGACGGCGGCACGAAGGCGGTACGGCTGACCTCATGCAAGTCACTCGACCCACCATGCACGGGTGCAGAGGCCTTCGGCAGCAGCCGCTTGCTGGCGGTCGGCTCAGCGACACCACCAGCAAGCGGACCGCTGACCTCAGCAAATGCAACACGGCCAATGGACAGGTGCTCATCAGGTGCAGACTCAGCAGAGGCAGCGGCATCCCTGAACTGCTGCAGAGCCGTAGGCTCTGGAGCAAAGGAATGCGCAGACAGCTCACAGACTTCAGGTTGCCCCACGAGAGCACACAAGTGCTCCATGGACCCCTCATCCCCAGCGTCATAGTACCGCTGAAAACGAAGGGCAAGCACGTCGGAGTCATAAGACTCAACGGCTTGGCAGTAGGATGCCGAAATGGTCATTGGGTGAGTGTCCTTGTGAGGACACTCACTCAGCCAATGCTTTGACCCAACGGCGCGGCACTTCTCGTGCCTGCACGTTGGAACAAAGGTGCCAGACCGCTTGTCAAAAGCCACCTCCGAAGAGGCGGCATGAGCAAGCGGTTGCACTCCAGGTCGGTGGAAGTTGCGCGGAGTGTGTTTCCCAGGGGGCTTGGAGCCACCCTTCTTAAGGGAATCCACATCCCGCTGCAACTTGACCAACTGAGCACTGAGCCGATCAATGGCCGAAGCCAGGCCAGTGTCAGTGGTGCAAGACGCAACAGACATGGGCCGCCCCGCAGTGCGCTTGCCCGAGAGCCGCCCGCAGCGGTACTGCTCGCGCACGCGCGCCTGCAAGGTGAGCAGACTCACAGCCGCACGCTGGTCAGCTCGAGCAAACGAGTCAACCAGCGTGGCGTAAGCCGGTCCAGACAGGGCAGAGAGGAATTGCCTTTTAACAGCGTCTTCGGGCAGCGTCGTCAGACGCTGCGCATCCCGAAGACAGCTGTTGAAGAGGCGAATCCCCGCATCAGGGTCACTCTCGTCAGAAATTTTCACGTCAAGCAGTTCAGTCAGAGCGTCGAACGGAGTCGACGCGTCAGCAAGCATACGCACCACCTCCAGGGTGGCGCGTTTGCCATCAGCAGGAACATCCGCACCAGAAGCCTCTACCCAATTACGGGCAGGAGACCCTGGCGCAGTCAGCAGCAGCAGCACAGAGTACAGCAGTTCATTTGCAGCAGGCAGAACAGGGGTGTCAGCAGCAGCCAGATCAAACAGGGGTGCGAATGCCGGCGACTGCAGTGTGAAGAGCTGCTGAAGTTCGGACACCAATTGAGAAAAAATGTCCGAAGCCGACGATTCGTCCCCACGGAATTTTGCTGCTTTGTCGCCTAACACCTTCGTTGCCGCGGTTTTGGAACTCTGAACGTCGAATGAATCCCTGCGCAACCGATGAACGAGTGTGGCAGCCGCAGTCGAGGACTCCGACGCAGCCGAATCCAAGTGCGGAGTCGTGGGCGTGGCTGCATGCAACGCTCCAACATCATCGAAAATCGTCGCTAATTTACGCGCTCTAGCGCGCGTACGTGGTCTTTGCGGTGTATCCATAATAAAAATGACGGTGAGATGGGGAGCGTGGGCTAGAGTGGCGGCAGTAGAAAGATCAGAAAATGCAGCGGCCAATCCCTGCAGAAGCCTCAGTAACAAGAACAACATCAGACAGGTCATGAGCCGATTGGCTAAAAGTGGTTGCGAGCCACAATACGCGGAATGTCCTCTCCACCGGCCAGGTGAAACGTAAGAAGAAGCCATAATAAGCGACGATACTGCTGCCGATAAATGTCCCGTAAAACTGATCTCCACTTCAAAAGAAGGCCATACCGCGGAAAGATGAACTACTGCCTAAGGGGGCGCCCACCCCATCTCTGTGTCAAAACTTAGCCAAACATGGCAACAGCTAGGCGCTGTGCCATCAGAATTACTAGGGAAGTGGTGACGCGCATAACCTGCGAGAACAGGTGTTCCGCTCGGGTAAAACTGGCTAAGCTCCCATAATCAGTCCGGCCGAGTGCTTTTATCATGCATCTCGGAAACCCGGATAATACGAAGTGATGACTGACAGTACAGTACTACTGTACTGTCATCCTAGCTACTAGCGGAGTCACGGTTCCGATCAGAGACGGGTCAGGCTAGGGCTATCAGAGCCCATAATAATAACCCTGAACCTAAAGTCCAGCAAATCATACTGATCGAAGATCGAATGTGACATCGATCCGCGATGACGTACCAACATCACGATTGCGGGCGTCTGTCACCTTTCGATCCGTAACACCGTATGCCGCCCCGTACCTTACGGGTCCCCAAGCCGGGGGATCCTAAGACCCTGCGTATGGTTGTGGACTATCGACAACTGAATCAACAAACGGTCCGAGACCGATACCCATTGCCAGACATCCAATTGATGTTCGAAGAGATGCAGGGAGCGGTTTTTGGCCGTAAACGGGTTTTGGCAAGCGACCCATGGCGGGAGACGACGTGGAGACGAGACCGCGTTTCATACCACGCGGATGGGGGTGTACTAGTGGCTAGTGATGCCCCTAGGTCTGCAGACCGCCTCTCCGTCGCATTGCTAAAGACGAATGCAACGAGCGCTCGGCTACCTTCCCTTTGTGCGTATTTTTATCGACGATTGCGTTGTGTTCAATAATACAATCTAAGAACATTGCGCGCGCGCGCGGGGGACCCACCCTTCCCGGTCGCGTGGCGGCTTTGGGGGAGGGAGGGGGATGCATGCCGATATGCTTTGGGGGCGGGAGGGGGACGGATATACCAGTTACGAGCATCTGGTGCGCATTCGCGAATTTGCCAAAAGTAGTATAGTATTGTGATCGCGATGTGGTGCCATGATGTGCTACATGCCATGGGCACGTGCCCAAACGGTTCCCCAACTCAAAACACATCAAAAGGTGTTTTAAACTTGTAGGACTTCATCAATATCGCCCCCTCTTTAAAATGGCCGATTTATTATGTCGGGTAAAATATAATTACATAAGCACGACGTCATGATACTACCTCACACACACAATTCCTGAAAAACCCTGCGGGGCTATGTTGACGTGCCCGGAGGTTGTATACACATAACATGTGTGTGTGAGTGTACATCGGTCAATACGAACACCGGAAATAACCCGATAACTCAAGAAACGAAGGCTAAGAGATGATAAAAATGACTTAGGGGTTTTATTATCGGTCGGACGAACTAGTGGGAATGATGACCGCCGACGGTGGCACCTCGGAGCGAGGGGTGACAAGTGGGGGGCATCCACTCCCAATGTGGGGATGAGAGAATTAAAGCGCCAATACTTGTGCAGTTCGAAAAAAATACGATAATAGCGGTGAATGGATATCTACATATCTCAAGCCGATCTCACCGGAATAAAAGTGAAGTCAAAGCCTAAATATCGTTTCAACACAACAGCCATAGAACGCAGCTTTCAATCATGACAGACGTGGGCGTTCACGTGATTCTGACAACAAGTCACCAGTTTTTCTGGTTGAGCTATACAGTAGTGAGCACCAGACAGTAGTCTCCCACTCTCCCGGCAGGATTATGCGTCTTGCGATAACTGGAGTGTTGGCATTTTGGAATACCTCAGTTCACCTTTACCAACTCAAGCTTGTAGTTTCCGAACAATCTATTGTGCACTGACGGATCAATCTTGGCGAGTTCCTATTATCTAACATAGTTAAAGTTAAGTTAAATTAAAAGTATTACAGTCTATGGAATGCAGCTTATTCACATTGCATCCAGCCATTCAGGGAAGATGTGCACCCCATCAGCCCCAAGTGGCACAGCTTCTTCCCTCACGATCCACTTCGTACTAACACCTCCGTAGACATGAACACAGCCGTCAGATCTAAGGAAGTGGATTGTGGTCTTTGCCCTGTCAAGAACTTTTCTGTCTGGCTGTGCATCTCCCATTT